AAAAAGATGCTCGCTGGGAAAGGATTTCTTCAGTCAAATGGCAGAGGAGGTGAGAGGGCTTTGAAATGAGCTGTTGTGTACTCAAAAACACCCAGGGATTCTTAGGAGCCTTCAATCTTGAGGACAGAAAAGCAAAGCACTATGATCAAAGAAGTGAGCCTCAGGTGTTTCTGAACCTGTTCATGTTCTGGTGTTGAGCAGATGGCATTTCTGGGGAGATCTCCATTAGAAATAAGGACACCCTGACAAAACTGAATGTGTGGCTCTGTGCTTTGTGGAAGACTTCTTGTCCTCTGCAAGTGAGGAGGCAGTCATTTCCTACGCTCTTGTACCCTGGACTAAAGGCTCTCTGGTCAATGTCTCAAGAATGCTTCCACCCATTCTTTATCCAAGTCCTTTCTCTCAGATAGGGTTATGAACATGAAATTTGCTCAAGTCCAATAATGGTAAATATTCCCACTCTCCATGGCTCCAGTGTTGAGTACCCAACTGTGGTTGTGGGGTTGCAGAGCATCACAGAAGGTTTTTAACGGCAGAAAGTCCTACTGGGCAGCTATGTGCAGATTCATCTGGCTAGGCTACTCAAGCTATGTTTTCTGCCTCGTTTCCACATGTAGCACACAAAAAGTTAGACCAATCCCACAGCACCAGCTGTGATGTCTTGAGAAAAACCAGCTCAAAGACTTGAGCCAGAAAATGACATAGCTAGCAAGATCAATAGAAAGCCCCCGGATTGGGAGAAGATCTTTACTAGCCATACAACAGACAAGGGTCTCATATCTAAAATATACTTGGACCTCAAAAAATTAAACCCCCCAACAACAAATCCTCAAAGAAACAACTGCCCAATAAATAAGTGGGCGAAAGACTTAAAGAGAAACTTCTCTGAAGAAGAAAGAAGGATGGCCAATAGACACATGAAGAAATGTTCAACATCCCTAGCCATAAAAGAAATGCAAACCAAAACAACATTGAGATATCACCTCACTCCAGTTAGAACGGCAAAAATCAAGAACTCTAACAACAACAGATGCGGGAGGGGATGTGGACAGAAAGGAACCTTACTTCATTGTTGGTGGGAATGTAAACTTGTTCAACCACTTTGGAAAGCAGTATGGAGGTTCCTCAAAAGACTTCACATAGAGCTCCCCTATGACCCAGCAATCCCACTTTTGGGCATTTACCCTAATGTTTACAAAAAAGACCACACTAAAGCTACCAGCACAACTATGTTTATTGCAGCATTATTTACCATAGCTAAGATATGGAACCAACCCAGATGCCCCTCAGTAGATGAATGGATCAAGAAAATGTGGTATATATACACAATGGAATTCTATGCCTCCATCAGAAAGAATGACATTGCCCCATTTGTTAGGAAATGGAAAAACGTGGAAAAAATTATATTAAGTGAAGTAAGCCAGGCCCAAAGAAACGTAGGTCCCATGGTTTCCCTTATTTGTAATATCTAGTATATGTATGAGTCAAGCGGAAAAGGTCAGATAATGTGATGTCAGGAAAATGAACCCTTAGATGTGTATTTTAATGTTTTTTTTCTTTCATGCATGTGTTTCTAACACATTTATAAGATTATCTCTTTGTTGCTTTGTATGTCACTCCTCCACAGTATAACCCCTGCTTTCACTATATTTGATGTCAGTATAACTTGTGGAGGAGATGGGGAAAAACCAGTTGTTTAAGGATACAGGTGGACCTGTTGCAACAATGAGAAGTACAAGTTGTTATGTCCAAAACGAGCTTTACAACGTTGGTGCAGGGGGGGGGGGGGGAGGGGGAAGGAGAAGGATTGGGATTGGGTGGGAGGGGGGAGGCTGGGAAGGGATGTGAAGGATAAACAAAGGAGGAGGCTGCAATGCTTGGTAAGAAATGTACGCATTATCCTGCCCATGTAACTGTAACTCCTCTGTACAGTATGTTCACAAATAAAATTAAATTAAAAAAAAAAAAAAGAGGACCAAAAAAAAAAAAAAAAAAAGACTTGAGCCAGAAGCGACCACTTTTGTCATCTTCTGTGGCTGTGACCAAACACCTGACCAAAGCCTGTAAAAGGACAAAAGGATCCTTTCGGTCCAAGGTTTTATGGATTTCCATCCATGGTCACTTGGCCCCCTCTCTTTGAGCCTCTGGGGAGGCAGAAATCATGACAAAGCTGTTGAGCTGGTGATGGTCAGGAAGCAGAAACGACATAATGGCAAAGCCAAGGTCCCAACAACCCTTCCCATGGGGACCCCATGACTTCACTTCCTTTTGCTTCTTAAGTAACACCAGAGGCTAGTGGCCAGCCTTGAGCACATGGGCTCTGAAGCAATTTCAGTTCCAGGTATTCATAGATACTGGATGGAGCTCAGAAGGTTGTATGCTAACATTCCTGAAGAGTCTTACAGATCTCCGACCTTCCCCCTTCCCCCTTCCTCATGCCTGATAAACATAACATGAGATTGGACACATGACTCATGCATGCAGTCCCAGCTAGTGGGGAGGCAGCAATCGGGAGGAACACACTTCAGGGCCAGGCTGAATAAAACTGTTAGCATGACCCTACCTCAAACAGTAAGCTGGGTGTGGTGTGGCGGCATGCACCTGTGCATGTAGCTCCATGGATGACTGCAGGTTCAAAGGATCCTGGTCCAACCTGAATTAGGAAAAACTAGGAAGGGATATGATAGATTTGCCTGAGAGAAGAGTAGGGAGTAAATTACCAGTGTGGTAAGTCACCAACAATGATAAAAACTAACATCATATAGGGCACTGGTGGCTCATGCCTATAATCCTAGCTCCTCAGGAAGCTGAGATCTGATGAGTGCAGTTCAAAGTCAATCTGGGTGGGAAAGTCCGAGAGACTCTTATCTAAAATGAACCACGAAAAAGCCAGAAATAATAGCCTTGAGCATAAAGTTTAGGGGCAGTGCCTATGCCCTGGGTTCAAACCCCAGGATAGATACACACACACACACACACACACACACACACACACACACACAAATTATGACACAACTAACCTCACATCTCAGTATATAAGAATTAGGAAAAGGGGCTGGGAAGGTGGCTCAGTGGTAGAGTGCTTGCCTTGCATGCCTGAGGCCCTGGGTTCGATTCCTCAGCACCACATAAGCAAAAAGAAAAAAGCCGGAAGTGGTACTGTGGCTCAAGTGGTAGAGCGCTAGCCTTGAGCTGAAGAGCTGAGGGACAGCACCCAGGCCCAGAGTTGAGGCCCCATGACCGGACCCCCCCCAAAAAAATAGGAAAAATATTTTATCTCAATGACAAATATATTAGTAGATTAAAATAAGAATTTGTATGCTATAGACAGTGGATAACAAGTCATCTGTAGTAGATGCAATGGCAATACACAATTTTATTGATCTCAAATACATTTTTTCTTTTTTCTTTTCAGGTAAGGCATAGGTTTATTCATCCTTCTGGCTGACACCTGGCCATCTTGACCCTCGGTGGGGGGGAAGGGGGGGGAGGAACAAGACCTGGGAAAGAGCTAGAAAAGAGCTAGAAAAAGCACTAAATTTTTTCTTATAAAAGCTCTACGAAAAGATTGTAAATTGTGGTACATATTTGCTGCTTATAATCCAATAAAACTGGAAATTCCCGATAAATGGCTGAACCAAAATATCCACTTAAAAGGATACTTCTTTCTCAATGATCTTTGAAGACAAAATAAGGAAAGCTATCTGAAAGCTCCTCACAGGAGAAAGGAAACATTTCTCTTTACAACGAAACATTGTATCTTCAGCTTTGTTTCCCCTCTCATCACATCCAGCACTGATGCTGTTAGGTCATTCATTTGGGCAGTGCTTCCATTAGGAAGTTGGGTTGACTATTCTATTCTTGCATCTGATAGAATTTACCATTTCATGAAATGTAGCTTTCATGCAAAATCTGAACTCCACTGTATGGTCATGGATATGAAAGCTTATATTTTGACCGTCTTAGGTTTCAACAGTCTGCAAGGATATCTGGAATGACAGTGTGTATCTCAGTTGTATAAGGTTGAAGATCTCAGGCTCCTGAGACACTGAAATTGCAGATGTGAGTCACAGCACCTGGCAGGTAATTTACAGTAGAGGATTGAAACAACATTAAGTGCATTAACCTCTATTGATCTCTTGCTGGGCTCCTTTGCTACTGCTCTGTGGAGGAGTCTAGAAGTATAGTCCCCACTTTCCTTCCTGGTCATGTGTGTCTGCTTGGCCAGATGGAATTTTGTTCACTGCAACTCTGGTATTGTAAACACAAAGGGGAAGTGCTCTTGCCATGGCTTTCTTCAACTGTGTAATGGAGAAAAGATAATATATCTTCTTCCTGTAACTGGCATGAGAGCTCAGGAGGGCAACTATTGAAGAATTACTTGAACTCAAAGAAATGATGAGTCAAGAGGGTTTATATTCCCTTAGGAAACTGTGAGTGGCTCTGGCATTTGACTGATGTGCTTTCTGTGATCTGTATCTTCTCCTTTACATGTTTCCCTGGGTTTCCCTTTATCAGTGTGCTTATAGTTTTAGGCAGGTACTTGCTTTGGAAGAACTGTGATTTTGGTCTGACTACGTTTAGCTCTTCTTGCAGCTCAGCAGTGTCTCCCTCCCTGAAGCACTGCCCTGGGTCTGGTGTGGCCTCATTTGATTTTCCCCCAGGGTCCTGCATGGTGATTCCAGTCCCTCCCAGCAGGTTGAGGTGGATTCCCTGCCTGCACAGGAGCCAGCAGCTTCCCACACAGATGATGGCTGTTGCAAAGGAGACATTTCAACACTCAGATTTCCAGGCGTGTGGAACAGTTCATGAGAACACCTGACTGAAAGCCTAGCCCCTAGAGGGACCTGCTCTTGCTCATTCTGCAGGAAAAAATGAGCTCAAAGCCTGAAAGGATTTCTTCTTAGAACAGAATATGCAGAAGTCTCTGCCATTAAGGAAGGCAAAGAAAAGCACCCACCAAAACCTTGCTCTTGTAAAGAAATGGTTTTAACACGCTATTAGTGTTTCCACATAGGTTTTTAATCTAAATGACCTGACATTTGAGTCTTTGTGCATTGTGCAACGCATTTCCCATAACTCATTGGAGAATATGATTTTCTCTGGTTGGAGTGCACGCATCTTGGCTGAAGAAAGGACAGCCTAGGATACAGCCCCATGCCCAGCTCTCCGGGAGGGCTGGGGGCTCAGGAACGGCAAGATTCCCTCATATTCTGTCATCTTTGCCATGCAGATGTTTGGGGCCGACTGAAATAATCGGTTGCAGTGTGAAGAAGGCTTGGGTGAGCAGCCCAAGTGCATGCTGGGTGCATGGCTGCCATTCCCACCGCTGAGCTGCTCATTTGTCTCCAACTGGGAACTGCCATTGTTGCTGAGCTCTCTTGTCAAAGCCTGGCAACTGAATGGAGGGACTGCCTTAATTCCAGGGCTTCCCTGAACCACAGGGCTGTCCCACACCCACTGCCCCCTGGGCTTGAGGCAGCCTTCCTTACTGTTCATTTTCAAGGAGCCATATGCCCAATCCTCTGAGGACCACCGTGGGACCCCAATGAAGGAAGTGAGGTGGGCAGAGGTCAGGCCACACCACCCAGACAAAGGCTTGTGTGGCAGGTGGTGGGATGGCAGCCCCAGCTCATCAGGCTGCCTGTCCCACCACCCAGACCCTGGGGAGTCCCTGGCCCTGCAAGCCTATGTACTTACTTTCCTGAGCGCTTCCTCAGGGGAGGGCTCCTCTTGTTGTTCCTGCTCAGGACAAGTACCCCGGCGGGGAGGCTCCAGCTCCCTGGATAGCTTGGAGCTAAGACAAGAAGTAGCTGGTTGGACAGCAGGCTCCACCCTGGGGGTTCCCTCCCAGGGGCCCTGGGGACTCAGGAGCTCATACACCCTTCCTTCAACAGGTCTGGTGGGAGGCTGACTCAGACAACAGGCTCTCATGGACTGGTGCTGGGGATTCCCATGTTTGTTGCCCCCACTGCCTACCCCAGCTCACCTTTCCAACTCATTTAGGCGGTTCATGTTGTTAAACCAAGATACGAAGTTCATGTCAGGAACCACCTGGAGCTCCTGACATGAGCCCTTTAGTTCCTTCATTAGTGCCATCACCTTGAATTCCTGGTTGAGAGAAAGGACACAGTGCTGATGGACCTGGACCAGGGCAAGGTAGGCCAGGCAGCTGACTTCGGGTCTTCACTTGGCTTCACTCTTGTCTCTCCCCAACACACTCGCCTTTCTCTACTGAGATCCAGTGCCCAACCCCAGCACGCTGTCCTAGATCCCCAGCTCAAGGCCCCATCTCCTGACCTCTGGAGGACAAGTGATGTGACCATCCACATCAGAGGGAAGGAAGGACCTAAGGGACCCGCACAGCTGGCTGCCTGCAGAGGAAGGTGTCATTTTCTCACCTCTCGTCTTCTTTTTACATTCAGCCAAGAGCCCTGCAAAGCAAAGAATATGTGCTAAGAAAATGCTGTTTCCACTTGGCGCCCTACCAAGTCCTTCCAGCAGAGGGCAGGCTGGGTGCACAGCTGGACTAGGATTGCTCTCAGTCTAGGGCAGGGAGGCCTAGGTCCTGAGGACAGGGAGCTCACTGCTCAACTCTCTGTGCACGTGGCAGAGACTTGAGGCTTCCAGTGACAAGGCCATGCTATTAGCTTGAGCACCTGCTGTCACACTGCCACCCTTGCTCACCACCCTCTGAGACATGGCCCCATGTCATCAGCAGCACTGAGGTCTGAGGGCATAGGGCATCACAAGTAGGATTGCTGTGGTGCTTGGCACTCTGGGGCTGGGGAGGACGTGGGCTCTTGCTGGAGGTCAAGGGGCAGGGAGAGGCTCTTTGTCCCCAATCTGCTTTGCCAGGGCTGGGGCCCTGTTCACTCACATCCTTGGAATCTTGGTCTTTGTGCAGTGAGGCCAGGTGTGTGAGGACGGTGCCCAGGTAAGGGACTGTGCCCTCGGGATAGTCCTGTGGCATTGGGTGCAGAAAGATCAGAAGAGTCCTGTTAAGCTCCTCCCAAGAACCCGACTTACCCCAGTCCCATGGAGCCATCTATCTAGCAGAACTTGGGGCAAGACAGGCTCATTCCTCAATGATCCACCCTCTACCCCATACCAAAGACACAGCCCTGCATGGGGAAATCTATCTAGGTCTGGGCCCCTCCAGGGCTGGCACTTGACACACGGGCAAGGTCTGTGGCCCTGCCCTTCACCTGCTCCTCTACTCTTGTGCAGGCCTTAGTGCTGTGGCTGCAACTCATTGCTGCAACATGCCATCTGAGCAGAGGCCAGGTGTGATGGGGCATTAAGGGAGTGGGCCAACAGGTCAGTTGGGTTGGGGGACCCCCTCAACTACTCCTTCTAGAAAGCCCCTGGCCTCAGGCATGCACACTCACCAATTGTTGAGGCTTCTTGCAGCCTCTCTTGAGTTTCTTCCAGAAGCTCTTGTATCTGGACTCTCGCCCCTGGCAGCAGTTAGCATGGATGTAGAACATACTCCTTCTCTAACCATTCAACCCTCCAAAGTCCCCTCTTGCCGCAAATGTGGTGTGACAGCCATGGCTTGGGCCCTAGGATCTCAGGCTCCCTGTGACCATCAGCACTGTATCCCTGGGCAGGCCAGAGCATATGCCAAGGCCTGTCTCCATGGTGGATGTGGCCATTTGCATCCCCTAAAAGATGTTTCTGGGGCTGCTTGATCTGAAGGGACATCTTGACCTCACATGACTGGCTAGGCTTCCCTCCTGGGACGGGAAGGCCACCCAGAAATAGAGCCAGGGCATGGCTTGGGCGTGCCAGGCTGGCGGGGTGTAGAGAGGCAGCCTCAACACAGGCCACACTCAGGAGGAAGCTTGACAGGAAATCTCAGCAGCAACCTTGACAACCCAACCCTGTCACTTTCTCCACCCTCCTCAGACACCCAGGTGGCCTCCTCCACTCACTCCACGGGGTCCCCAGGGACCTCCTGTTCCCCATACGATCTGTCCCCCACCCAAGCCCACGACGGATGCTTCTCCTAGCTATGTTGGATATGCTCCTTGAATTCCATCAGAGAGAAAATTTCCCTCGCCTCCGTCCGAGGGTCAAATCTTATTCCGGGGCTCATACAACCTTGTACACTTGCTCCTGGCAGTGTATCCTCCTCAGCTCCTGATAGACAGCTACTCTCTCCCTGGACGATGGGCAGAGACAAGGTGACAGATGGGAGAGGAAGGGAGAGGAGGAGTGTGAATGGATTTCGCATTTGGAGGCAGGACTTTATGCTAATGGGCACAGGGCTGTGCAGGGAGAGCCACTGTGACCCTTAGGTCACATGGTTAGGAACAAAGTCTTGAGGGGAAACCTCCAGCTCCACCCCAATTCCCAGAGTGGTTTTGCTTGGAAGAGCACTGCACAGACTGGTGTAGCTGTGATGTCTCTGAAGGAAAACGTCCCCAAGGGCCTTGTGCAATGTATGGCAGAAGAGGAATCCCAACCTAGCAGGCAAATCCTAGGCAAGGCCATAGAGCTGTGGTCTCTGCCATGGGGCACTGCCATTGGGCTCCCAGAAGATGGACGCTAAGCTGAGGAAGCAAGGGTTGCCCAGGAGAAAGGTGCACCCACCTGCAAACCAATCTCCACGTCTTCTTCAGGCCTTGGAGCTGGCTGCTCTGCAGAGCACACACGATTGCAAATAAGGTGGAGATATTTTTTCGTAGGTGGCACTCCTAGGAGTGAAGAATGGGTGAGGAGAGCTGTGGAGGAAACTCCTGGGCTCCCCTGCTTGGCCTGGGGCTGGGCCTTTGTTACTAGGCTGAACTGGGACAGCTTGGGGGAGGGGAATGACAGTGGAAGCAGGGCAGGAATGCACACAGCCCAAGTGAGGGCAGAGTAGGAGGAGGGCTTTAAGGCTAGGCAGTGGCTGTGAGTGAGCAGGCAGCCACTTGGTGGGAGTAGGAAAGGGAAGAAGGGTCCCTGGGCCCCTCCTGCTCATACCAGAGCCACCTCTATCCAGTGCTGCACCACTTGGGCTCTCTCTGCTGCCTCCATGCTGTGGTCCCCGAGGCACGTGGTGATCACACAACTGGAGACCTGCTCACAGTGCTCCAGTATGGGAAGCAGAGTGGGTGCCAGGCGCTCCAGACACTCCTCCTGGTCAGCTTGTACATACACGTAACTCAAAAGGTGGTAAGGGATGAGTCTTTTGAACAGTTTCTGAAAAGATGAAATGAATGGTCAGCATGACTCTGCCCTGAGGCAGGTGTGGCAGTAGAGGTGCAAAGGAAAGCCCGCACGCCCAGCCCTGCCAAGCTACTTACGACGGCCATGATGGAGAACTGATCTGCCTTCTCTTCGGGCAGCCAATCTAGCACTCGAGCTGTCTCCTCATCACTGTCTAACTCCAGCATGGACATCCGGGATGGCCCCATGGAGGAAATCTGCACATCCTCCATCTCCACGCACTCCCAGGGAGCCGGGTCTATTTCCGCAGGCCTGTCTGCCTCGCTAGCTGGTGGGCCAGCAGGCTCTTGCTCGGCAGCACAGGTCAGAGCACCATCGGCGTCTTCAGCCACTGGCGGCTCATAGTATTTGTCAAAATAAGTAACTGGATGAATGTCCTCTCCTAAGCCTGTGTCAGCTTCCAGCTGCACAGATGGGACGGGTGCTACATCCCGGCTGGGCAGCAGAGGCTCCTGTACGGGTGGCTCTGGCTGCTCAGCAACTGACTCAAGGCAGTCAGCCTCTCCAGCAAGCGGGCAACACTGCACTTGCTTCCCAGATGGACCGAGAGACTCCCCTTGCTCCCCAGATGGACCGAGAGACTCCACTTGCTCCCCCGATGGACCGAGAGACTCCCCTTGCTCCCCAGATAGACCGAGAGACTCCACTTGCTCCCCAGATGGACCGAGAACAGACTCCAGGCTTTCATCTCCTGGAGCCTCTAGCTCTGGCCCTGAGCTGCTCACTACAATAGGTTTGGAGGGCTCTGGTTGAACTGCAGATGCGTCTCCTTCTTGGGCGGGTTGCAGAATTGGGTCACACTGGCCTTCAGGCAGCTGGGCTTCTGGAGTGGGCACTGGCATACCCTCATCACTGGCATGTATTGGTGCATCAATGGCTGGCTCTAGAGCCATTGCTACCACTGGGCTAAGTGCCCCTGGCACTGAGGGATCAGCCCCTCTTTCTTCATTTGAGTCTTGCAGGTCAAGATCCAGACTTGGTGCTGGAGATGGTGCAAGGCTGTGGGCCATTGGCTGACCTGCAGGTGGATTGATCTCTTCGGTCACAGTTGACGGAGGTGAGTCAGAACATCCGTCTGCATGGGGTTCTTGTTGGAGCTCCACTGCAGCTCCTGGAGCTGAGGGGGCCTCTGAGGCTACAGCTAGTTCCAGCTCTGACTGACATGGTAGTACTGCTTCTACGCAGGGTGTTGGATCCAGTGGGTGTACAGTGGTTTTCTCATAAAGCCTGGCAGTTGGTGGAACAGCTGCAAGAAAAGATCCCCTACAGCACTGCCTTCCCCTCAGTCATTCCTACGGCCACGAGACCCCTGCCTGCTGAGAAGCCCTAGTCCCTGGACTCCACCCCAGGAAGCCCTGCCAGGACAGGTTTCATGCCAAGGCATCCAGGTTCCCTGGCTGTCCTGTTGATGGCCCCATGGTAGCATGGGAGCTGCCTTCAGGTGGACAAAGCTTGGAATCCCACACCTGTTCTCTCCTTTGCCAGCCCATGCTACTCACCCTCCAGCTCTGGCTTCTTGAGAAGCATGTGCTCCAGCTGGCTGAG